AGCAAGTCTTAAAATTAGATGATTACAACCTCAAACAAAAACATGATATCTTACACTGTGTCATCATTTAAACTTTTTTAATAGTGTCTAATGTCTTTGCCTTTCCCTTACAAACTTCAGTAATATAATATGGAGATTCTTAGACACAACTTTATTCTTTTTTTTTTCTTTAGGCTGCAAACAGTTTTACAACAGTTTTATTGTTCTGGAAGCATTAATATATGATCCTTAAGCCGGACGCCTGGTTGTACTTGCTAACACTGTATCAAACTTGCATGTAGACAAAGCCTTTGATTGAATTATAATTTTATATTTATTCCCACTCTTAAAAACGCCTGAGGCTGCAGCTGAAAGAATACAAAATTAAACTGTATTTTAAACATTAACTCAATAAAATACTTGATTGTTGTCAATCAGTTGTGATATTAATGTATGTTAACTTTTCACCAGCTTTAATTCCAGACTTCATAAAGGCTGAACTTTATTAACACTCTTAATGACCAAATCACTTAAGGCGCACATTTTTAAAACTACATCATGCTGCAGTGTTTGCTCACACACTGCTGTATTCATTGCTGTCTGTATTATGTTTAACCTCTTTATATTTTTCAATAGTGTAATTTCTTTGTAAAATCAGCTGCTTTGCTGCCAGCTCCACACTCTTCATGTCACTTCAGAGTGCAGGTCCCAGGTCCTGTGGCTGTAAGAAACCCAAATCATCACCCCTCCACCGCCGTGCTTGACAGCTGGTATTAGATGTTTGTTCAGATGCAACTTTGCAAACATAAGCTTTGCTGCCATGTACTTTTTAGAGTGAAGAGGCTTTCTTCTGGCGGCACTTAAAAAAAGGGCTACTTGTTTAGTCTTTTTGTAATTGTAACATCATGAACTTTAACATTTAACATGCTAACCGAGGCACTTAACTCTTGTGAGGGTTGTGGCATTATGATGACACACACCTTAATGCTCCAGACCAGCAAACTGCCAAAACCTCTGCTTTAATGATGGTGCTCACACTTGCTGATGATCAGTCAGTACAGTGAATTTGATTAGTAGCACTTGGCTGCTACTTATCCTTTTAATTTCTCTGTAAGCGCTAAGGGTGCACTGTTCACTCGCAGTGTAATATGCTATGTTTTATAGTTTGTCTAAAGTTACATTACCTAAATTTAAGACAATCTTATTTTAATTACTATGACTGCCATTTACAAACCTTTGCAGTCTTTATCATGACTTTACACTGGCATTAATAATACATGCAGTAGCAGCTTCCTGCACCAGTTTAATAAATAATGACACTTTTAGTGTACCAAATTATTGATTTGGTACTGAAAAGAAATACAGTTTTCCCACCAGCTCCAGCCCCACACTGTAGCTTGCATTCAAGGCTAGTGTATCAATAAAAGTTTAAGTGACTTATTATTTCCCAATAATAATATCTCCAGCACACCACTTTAGCAAGCACATGACAGCGTCACCTGCTTTATCGTTGTAGATAAAGGCAAAAGAAAGTCAAGCTTGTGTGTTATGATGTTGCCATCTGGTGGTAACTGCTCTCCATCATTTTCTGTTCAGACCAGTCAGTGCAGGTTTTCAGTGGCAGCCATGTTAGCTTTAGTTATTATTAACGCAGATTATTGTGGACATTAGCAATGAAGAAAACAAAGAAACATTATACACAAATATAAATAAATTGTAATAATTTAGCTCAAACAGGCAATTTATTACTTAATTGAGAATGTTACACAAAATACCCCAGGCTAGGCCTATTTCAAATTGTATTGTCATTTTAGGTGGAAGGACGGGAATAAATATTATGCCAATTTTATAGTATGTGTCGTTTCAAATTAATTATGTCTTATACTTATGTCAATATTTAAGCCAAAACCGATAAAAATCGCGTCAAAAAAAAAGGAGCACACTTAAATAGCATCCAAACTGCGTTTATTTTCTTTTTACTACAGTTCCCAGGATGCAGTGGCAGCCTACGTCCTCACGCTGCTGTCGCGCGGCTGCTGCGGCTGCTTTCGCAGATTTGTAAACACAGCAGTTACGCTCAGTTGATCTGTAACGGGCGGTTAAGCCCATCCAGATGGTTGTGGCAGCTGCTGAAAAGCGCTGCCGCTCTTGAACGTAGCCTCGGTTTATATTTGGCTTAAAGGAGACGCAACAAAGCGCACAAAATGGTTGTGCTCAAGGCCCGGGCGAATAAGTAGGTTTACTATAGCTTTAAGAAGAAGAAAATAGTGTCTGCTTCTTTAAAATTATATTGGTTTATTGCTGAATAGATAATTAAGAAAACTTTGTAGTTTCTAATCAATATATATATGTATTTAATTTGCGACGAAACCAACTGAAAATGCACTACTGTTGGATAAAGGCCGCCTGCAATCAAAACGGCTTTAAAGCAGATGTGGTCCGTTTTTCCTCAGTTTGCAAGTAAACCTGCCTGACTTTAAGTGGAATCTGAGGTGGTCCTAAGTGTCCTCACGGTGATGGAACCAGCCGGTGACCGAACCGGGAATGTAAATAAAGGTGAAGATCCGACGGAGGACAAGGCCGCAGAAGAGACCCCGGGCACCAGTACAGCTGGTACGCCACGGAGGGCGCTGAGGGACCGGGGAGCGGGCCGCCCTAGGTCTGGCGTCACCGCTTCTGTAGCGGACGTTAACGGCGGTACGTCGAGCCCGCAGACTTCGGGACGGGTTTTAAGAGATAGGTCAACGAGGGCAGTACCAGCCTGGCTGAAAGACACCAAAAGCAGCGACGACGACGAGGACGAACTTAGCTCGGACGCCGGTGCGACCAAGCGGAGGAAAGTTTCCAACTCCAGGCGGAAGAAAAATTCAGATACTGCAGGTTCGGCTGAGGGATACAGCCTTCAAGGCACAGAGTACGTTTTTGTTTTTTCTTTGTTTGTTTCTTTAACGAGTATCCCTATTTCAACTTGGCCACCACATTTGATTATAAGGAGCCCGCCTTACTTGCACATTGTGTCGGTGAAGTCGGTTCCTGTCAAAAGCACGCCTTCATCGTGGCTCGTCCCCTTTCTGCTGTCTGTATGGGAAGGGTGGAGTAAAACTTACCTGATTTTAAAGGGGGCTATATTTTACAAAGTGCTACAACACAGAAATGCATTATCTTGTTAAACATGTTGATGTTGTGGTGCTGTGCAGGAAAATGCGTCAAGTCAATGTTTTTCCTTCTTTCTGCAGACAAGAGGACGCCAAGAAACCTGCCACAGATGCCCAAGGTAATCAACTGCATAAAAGCCGCTTTATATCCTCCTTGTTCACTTTACATTTAAGTATAAGCACATGCTATTTACCTGTAGTTATGTCTTTGATTCAGATAGCGCTGATGTGTTCACTAATGTCAGGCCCGTGTCACACTTTATGACACTTTTCTACACTCTCACTGCATGCTACTGCTCTCTCTCACTCCAGCCCTTCCCTCCAGACGCCCCTCAGCCCAGACTCATGCCAAGACTCCATCTGGCAGGGCTGTCCACAGCTCTGCCAAGCCCATGTGTAAGACTGAACCTGGAATGGAGAATCCAGCTGGTGAGCAACCTGTTGACAGTGAGCTGCTCTGCTTTAGCGTGGGGGCCTTTTTAACTCGGAGACCAAATCATGCAGACACACAAGAACCAAAAACATCTGGGCAATCGCTGTTTGTTTTGTATAGAACTTGCAAAAACATCTGGGAACATGTATCTCTGGTTATTGATTCCTTGTGGGGGGAAACATCTGGATTCTGTCGTTTCTGGCTCATTATAATGCTTCCAAATAATTGATCTAGAATGCAATTATTTTTTATTTTTTTTATTTTTTTTGCAGTTAAATTACTGTTTTATAAATGTTGTTTGTATGACGTTGCTAGTGGCTGAAAGCGCTTTTGGTGTCTCTCTCTGTCATGCAGCTGTGGAAGGAGCTGTAGATGATAAAGACAAGTATGAAATGTAAGTATACTTTTGGTGACCCACGATGTGATTCTTGCAGGCTTTAATGGCTTAATTTTGGCCACTTCCTCCTAATACTGCCTTCTTGCTCCCTGGAAGTCCTGTTCTGGCCACTTAATTGTGGGCTTAAAACTTGAGCAGAGAGTAAACTGTGAAATTCAGTGACAAGCTGAACTGTCTTTCATATCAAGTAAAATCACTACTGATAAAAGCGGAGTGTCTGGCTCCAAACCAAATGACGGTCTTCAGAGGAAGAGCCTGCAGTGAAGGGGCAACCTTTGAACATTTGGGAGGCTGTGCACTTTGAAGTGACCACCTGGGGTCATATTGTCAAATTATAGTTGCACTGTAACTCCTTGTCCTGTCAGAGAGAGAATAAAGAAGCCAAACTGTGACCACACCACATCTTGCTCCCTGTTACTTTGTCCTCTTCCTCCAGAATTAAACTGAGGTTGAATGGGTTTCCATTTTACAGTTGAATCAGTCCAGTCCAGCTCTCAGTGCAGGTGTGCAAGTCATCAGAAAGGGACTTCCACGGAGAACAGCTTGAAAGGGCGAATTAGCTTTCCATGGGTCATGAATCACTGTGTAGAATAGCGTTTGTATCGGAGTTTTTAAAAAGTCACATTTATTGCTCGTATCTCGTTGTGCACATAATCTCAGGTTCTTTATGTAGGAAAATATGTTTTTCTAATGATTATGTTGTTTTGCTACTGGTACATTCGCAGTCTGAGGCTAAGTATAAAAGCAGCAACAGAAGAAATCAGCCTGACACGCCGTATTTACTCTGCTTGACTCTGGGTTTGTTCCCTCAGTTTAAAATGTATAAAAAAATTTTTTTAAAAAAGAGTCAAATGTGTAACTAAGGAGAGTTTGGTCTGTGTTTTTAATTACAGTGAAAAGAAAGAGGAGGAAAATACCGGCGCTGCTGAACCAGGCTTGGATGATGAAGATCCTTCTTTTCAGGATGACCCAGACAATCTCAACTACCAGCCACAGAGTCAGAGGTGCGCTTATGTCAAATGCATCATTTGACCCAGTGCAGAACGTTTTTAGAAAAAAAAAAACAGTTTGCAATTTATTGTTTTGCTTTCAGCAGTGTAGAAGAAGAAGAGGTCCTTAGCAGCGAGGAAGATGTTCCCTTTAGAGACGACTTAAATGATCAAAGCTACGACCCGAAGGTTGAAAGGTTTGTGGTTTTGTATGAGAGGGATTGGGTTATTCATATGTAATTACTGTTTTTTGATTGGAATTTTTTCTCCTGTTTTATTTTTTAGGGATGCTCCTAAACCAAAGCGCAGAGTTCCTCCTAGACCCAAGGAGAAGAAAGAAAAGGAGAAACCACTGAAGAAAGAGAAGGAGGTTGCTGAGATAAAAGTGGAAGGTTCAGACAATGTAGAGAGCATGCAGGAGGAAGTAAAGCTTGAAGAGGAAGTAGTGGAAGATCCGGATGGACCCAGGAAGTAAGTGCAGTACCAGACTGTGAGTGCCATGAGCTGAAACCAGACAGAACTGCAAACGCATCTACACATCCTCCATTCCTAATCAGCTTTTGTTAACCAATCACTGAAGTCCAATTTATCCAATTAAACCCAACACTGTTTTAAGTTAATGCTAATGTGTAGCCATGGCAACATACTGGTTTTGCCAGACATGCTCATCTGTTTGTCATTGGAGGAGTTTTGGATTTTGGGTGCAAAAAACAAAGGAGCGCTCGCCTCATAGAATATCGCCATCATGGAGCACGGCTTGACATTAGCAGTAGTCGCTATTTTTTTTTTTTTTTTTTAAGTCCTCCTGCAGTGTTCATTGATCTGATGCTAGATGAATCTGTAAACTCATTCAAGTGGATGGATTCAAAGGTCTGGACTAAGGCAAGCTGCAGCATTTAGTATCCCAGAAAAAGGATTAGGTACATAGTGTAGAAATATGGTATGCCAACAATACCAGTGACAATATTGGAGAGAAACCCCCAACAATCAGATCAGGCAAATTCCTATGAGCAAGCACTTGGCAACACTGGGAAGAAAAAACTCCCTTTTAACAGAAGGAAACTTCCAGCAGAACCAGGCTCAGGCAGAGGCAGCCATCTGCTGCTACTGAGGAGGGGGGGTATAGAGAGACAGGATCAAAACAAACTATGGCAGAGAGTAGGCAAAAAGTAATGACTTAGCACACAGGGAGAGCATCTGTTTACATTCTGAAAGAAGGGTAAACATGCTTCTCAAGCCCTTTTGACCCACAGTGCTTGGCGCAGTGCACAAGAAAGCATAGTCAAATGCTTTCAGTACTGATGCAACCATTTAAAAATTTCAGACTTTGTTTTTTTGTTTGCTTTGTTGCACTACAGCCTGAGTGATGACAAGGGTCAAAATACAAAGTGCAGTGATTTTCAAGTAGTGTGGTCCATTTGTATGCATACTGCATCAGCAAACAATACATGCTTTGTAAGTGCAGCTGCATTGTGTACTCAATATAGAACGAAAACATATGTGATTGGAAATGTCATCAATAAGACACGGAGTCATTCAGTCTGCCTGTTTTAAAATACTAACCAGCTGCTCCTCCTTCTAAATTTAACATGTGCTTATTTAAACGTACCTCACTTCACAATGGCTTTGTGTTCACATATAGCAGAGCATGGCTTTGATTTCCCGGTATACACAATTATGTCATTTTAAAAAATTTTTTGTCTTGGCTGTGTTAGGAGAGGTCGGCGGAAAAAAGACGACAAAACCCCACGGCTGCCAAAGAGAAGGTGAAGTTGATGTCTGTGTTGGTGCTTCGTTATCTGAAATCAGTCATGAACTTTGTATAGACATAGATGGTTAAGTATAAGATAGTAACTGGCTTCGCTCACACAGGAAGAAGCCCCCAGTTCAGTATGTGCGCTGCGAAATGGAAGGATGTGGGACAGTGCTGGCTCATCCTCGCTACTTACAGGTTTGCCACACACATGCGCACACACACGCACACACACAAACACAAAGCAGCAGTAACTAATCTGTTCTTTGCTTTAAACTCCAGCACCATATAAAGTACCAGCACTTACTCAAGAAGAAGTATGTTTGTCCTCATCCTTCTTGTGGGAGGCTTTTCCGCCTACAGAAGCAGCTGCTGCGTCATGCAAAGCACCACACAGGTACGCATGTACATTTGTTTTCAGAGGTTTACATCCACTTATCATGGGCACGGGTGTCATTATAATTTTGGGCTTTTGATGATTTCTTTGAACTTTTTTCTATTTTTTTCCAGGGTGGAGTGATTGTACAGCATACAACTTTAATGACTTTAAAAAAACAAAAACTGACTGCGAAAGTTTGACTTTATTTTGGATTTTCTTTGATCCACACAGGTTAAAAAACAGGCTCAAATATAAGCATACACTATGAGGGACCAAGCAGCCAAAGCAAAGAGGACACAGGCAAAAAAAATCTTCAAAAAGGGTTTTCTTTATTTTAACCCTCAAAAAGTCCAAAATTAACAAAATTCAAAACCATACTTAGCAGGCCCATAAAACAGGTCAACTAAATATAACTCTACAAAAAGTAATTTCCAGAAACTTAAACAAAA